CTAATATCTTAGTATGTTCCCATATTCTATCCTGATTTCTGTTGTGAGATATAGGTAGTAATGTTATTCTCATTCTCAGTCTTCAGAGAAGAAATGTAGGAATTGAAGATTTCTTGTCCCAGATGATAGAAATATGTAGATTATCTAGATATTTTAAATAATTTTTCAGTTTCTAAAATAAGAGTTGTAAAATGGAAAAAAAATTTATTAAAACACGAGAATGTGGAGAGACCTATTCAGCAATAAATAAGCACATGGAATGACAGTCCCGGATACCAAGACCTAGGGATGAAGTAGCCTCTGGGATGTGTTCTGGGAGAACAGTTAAGTAACAAGCTAAGAGAATATTGAGTGCTGTGGCCCTGTTTTCCAGGGACATGTCAGACATGGGTGGTGGAGAACGGTTGGTTTGTACACACCTGAATCTGCTTTCCACAAATTCCCACCACATCCTCTTCTTGCTTACTCTTGTTTTCTCTTTCCCAGCATCACTGTGGGAAACACCCTGGTGCTCTTTCCTCCCTTCCAGGTTCTGACACCCAGGTAAGCCCAGCAGTGACCACGAACAATGTGTTATAATAAATCATCAATATTCTGGTTGGGGCTGGAATGACGTCCCTTGCAGTGGTAAACAGAAGTCAGTTTGTCAGATGAAGAAAATATACTTATGAATCAAGCATTCTCCATAGACATGGGCTTGCATTTTTATCCAGCATTACACAGACACCTGGAAAGATCTTCTTGTGGAAATTTAGAAATTTAGGCAGGCAGCCAACAGTTATCCATATGATAATACTGGTCCTCTTATATAGTTATTTATTCATCCTTTACTCTTTATATAATGAGAATTCCCCATATACCAGAGACTCTACAGGATCCTTTGTGAATATGTGGAAGCACTCCAGCCTCTATGTCCATTCTTAGATTCCTAAAGTCTCATTTGATGATAGAATTTTATGGTGTGGAGCCTCTACCAATTTCTCTATGTTCTTCTGTCTTTGAATTTATTGATGTATAATTGACAAATAAATCATGTATATTTACATTACATTGTCTTGATTTGATATGTAAATGCATTTGGCAATGGATACCACAATCAGTTTAACAACACCCTCTATTACCTAACCTAGTTGTCTGTTTGTGTGTGTGTGTGTGTGTGTGTGTGTGTGTGTGTGGTATTAGAACATTTAAGATCTTCTTAAGCAAATTCAGACAGACAGGGTGACATTGTTACCTATTGTCACTTTGATCCTCAGTGCTTACTCACATTTTCTCTGGCAGTTTGTGCCCTTCCTTCAGCATTTCCTCTTGTCCCCCAATACCTGCATTATTAGGAACCATTCAGGATCTTGGTCACCATGGCTAGTGTGTCAGGTGCTGTGGGTGCCGTGAGGCTGATGTGGGCCTTTAATGGTGGCTGATCCTGGGCTGGGTTATCTTCATCAACAGCAGTTTAAGAAGATGATAGCCAACCTTCTACTGGCACTCCCATGATTTTTGGTGTCTCAGGTTGATGCATGTCACATTATGGGCAGCCTCTGCCCTGTGGATGGACGTGAAGAGACTCACATATCCCATGGAGCCTGTATGCTGCTTAACACTTTAGAAGCCTTTTCAACTTCTTGTCACAAATATTTTGAAACAGAAGTTGACTTTGGTAATATCAATACTCATATAACTACCATCTATA